ATATATATATATATATATATATATATATATGAAGAAAAATATACAGAAAAAACAAACAAAAATCTTAATATGTAATTATGCTGTATTAATGTTAATATAAAGTCGACGTTGGACGTTTTGGTCTATTTTAGACCATCTTCATGGACATTTTCATTTAAACATAATTAACATTAGAACATATAAAAATTCAACACGAAAAGACGATGGACATAAGAGCACAACTAATCCAAACAGATAACTGAAATTTTTATATTAATATTAATACAGCATAATTACATATTAAGATTTTTGTTTGTTTTTTCTGTATATTTTTCTTCATACTGTTGGATCTATATCCATATATTTGCTTACACACACACATATATATATATATATATATATATATATATATATATATATATATATATAATGTAATGAATGTGACTAGAATTTAAAGCTATGGGTTGAATATCAGGGGCACCCTGTAGAGAGCCCTAATCACCGATATTCTGAATGGACATGGCACACTGAAAGCGAGAAAGAACCTACTTATCAAGTTTTAGCAAATGAATGGAGGGAAAAGACCCACAAAGGCTGAGAAAAAAGTATTGTGGAGAGCCATAATCAGACATACTCTGAACAGACATGGTACATTGTAAAAGAGAGTAAACCTGCTTGACAAGTTTTAGCAAATAGAGCAACAAGTAGAGTGGTCTTAAAGGAGAATAATAGCTAAGAGAAACAAAAGACAGGAAGCTGTGAAGAGCCATAATCGCCCATATTCTGAAGGGACATAATACATTAAGAGAGAGAGACTACTTGATAAGTTTGAATAAATGAATAGAGGAAAAAGTATTACAAAACTTTTATTATCATCATCATCATCTACTTGAGAGATATTAGTAAAAAAAAAAAATTTAATGTTTATTTCCAAAGTTTCAAAATGATTAACCTTGCATTATTTTTGAATCTGGGTCTTGGTGTGTGTGTGTGTGTGTAGGTGGAGGAATTATCATCTGTTAAATGAAAATTGGAGTCACATAATTCTGATAGAGGATCCATGTGTCTTCCGTGTGTTATTTTGTAAACTGAGTTAATTTCATTGTAGTAATTAATCTTGAATTAACAGAGTATTGACATGTCTTTTAGATTATTATATAAAATTATTTCAAGAGTACATCTGCTATTATTTTTATCTTCTTAATAAAACCTTTGGTTCCATTTGGTTATTTCACCAATACACACACCTGGAACTTGCTTAAATGAAACTCTTCAAAGTACTGCAAAAATGCAGAATATTTTATTGCAAATCTTTTTTCCTTTTCTGAAGTGTGTTGATTTTTTTAAAACTAATATTTGCAAATGAACTTGATAGAATACAGATACATCAATATGTTCATGTCTGTATATATGTATACACACACACACACACACACACACACACACACACATATATATATATATATATATATATATATATATATATATATACCCAATGTTAGCCTGTTTGGTGGAATTTTATTTCAGTTAAATGTTGAATAGTTTATATTGTATATACACACACACACATATATATAATGAAAGGATTTATTTTTAATTCAACATTTTTATTACTTTGAATGTTATTGTGGATACTTGTATTTGAAATAGACTCCCTATTTTTTATTTATTAAACTGTATATGATACATTTATATGTTTGCATTTGAGAAATCTGAACAAAAGAAAATTAAGTGTTGTTTTTTAAAGAAACATTTATTAATAAATAAAAAAATAAATGGCACTCAGTTTTCTTTTATTAAAATAAAAATAAATATCAACTTTAAAACAAATTTACTGATAATACAAAAAACCAAATTTGAAAAATCAAATAAAAAATTGATAGCACTTTTCCAAATTTAGCCAAACATGCTGAAATATATATATATTATATATATATATATATATATATTATATATATATAATAAAAAAATAAAATGGCACACAGTTTTCTTTTATTTAAAATGAAAGCTCGAATTTAATTTCAAATTTTAAAACAAATTTATCCTGCGAATTTTGGAGTAACTTATTTTTAAATTTACGACAAAAAAAACCAAATACAGAAAAATTCAAAGAAAAAATTGTGTTCATTATCACTGTATTTTTTCCATATTATGTTTTTATGGATTTTTCAATGAATTCTTGATCCGTTAAATGCATGTTAGAAAAAATTTATTGTTATATATATATATATATATATATATATATATATATATAAATTAATTGATATATAAATATATTTTATACATACATACATATATATATATATATATATATATATAAAATGTAAAATATATAATCCGAATTTAATTTTATTTTTATTTTTTACAAAGAAAATTATTTCCATTTCATATAAATTAATTATTTTAAAATATGGTTTTTATCCTACACAGTTCTTATTTCAAAAAAATAAAAGCTTCAAATTTAATTTTGTAATTAAATTAAAGACATTAGTTCCATTTCATCCTCAAAACTTATTTTTAAATTTACTGGGTTTTCCACGACAAAAATCATAATACATTTCAAGGATACAGAGAAATCTATTCAACCAGACAAGGGGTGTTTGGGTGTTCATTATCACTGTATTTTGATGTATCAGTTATTAGTTATGTTTTGGTAGGGGTAGGGATGTATTTTTCAATGAAATCTGACATCCGTTAAATGCATGTTGTCTGGATTTTTTTTTATATATATATATAAACACTGTAATAAAGATACCTTTTTTGCGAAAGACAAAAATGATCCACCAGAGTATTTCTTAAAGACATTGCTTAAAAGGTAAACAGGCTTTGTAATTAAAGTACTCATTATGAAGAGATGGAACTTTCATTTTATTTATCAAGCCACCTGACAAGTAGTTAGGAAAAAACTAAGTAGACACAAATAAATAAATTGACCTTTTATTTTCATTTATTATGTTACATAAAAACACATTCATTTACACACCTTAGAAGTCATCTATTTGTTGTGATAGTTTGCTTAGGAAACATGTTCAGAGACATCTTGCATTGTTTCTGATAATTTTGAAGAACACCATTGTTTAAAGGCAATCTCTTTCTAACAAAGGATACCTTATCAAATATGTGAATTCTATAAAATTCTTATCATATAATGATTTTCCTTTTTTACCCTCATATTGTTCTTTTTTTTTTTTTTAGTTACTAATAAGAATAAACCAAACATCTCCACTTGTAGGTTTACACCCTCTTCTTGAAATTTTAGTATCATAGTAACCTTCTGTTAGTTTGAAATTAAAAAAAATGATTGTACACATCTTCTCTCACTAAAGGAAGATGTGTAGGCAGTTCTCAAACAGTATTGCCTTCATTAGCTCAGATAAGAAAGAAGAAATCATGTATTATTGATAGTGTTTTTATCTATACATGAAAGTCTAAAATAACAGTCAATGACTTGATTTCCCTTGGGTGGCTGATTTAGTTAATTAATTAATATGCTCAAAGTGACTAAAAGCAACTTGATTTAATAAGTATGAGAAAATAAGAAAAATGCATGGAGATGGAATTTCATGTTTACAGATTTCTTTACAATCTGACTTTTTTTATTCTGAGGAAATAATTTCTAAAACAATGTTTGACAATGGATTTATTCTCTATCCAATAATTTAATACATTCTCTTTCATTTTTTAAACTTGGGGAATAAGAAACTTTTTTTCTTGGGAATCAAATAAATAAATCTCTTCCTTTTTGAACATCACCAATGATGTTTGTTTGACGATCCTCGTTGGACTCTGGGTGTAGTCAATTATGCTTACTAGACATATTTTATCTCAAATGCTCACTTTATTAAATAATATTTTTATTCCAGATGAAATCAAATTCTGAGAGAGGCTCCAAAAATAATGCCTCATTTGGGCTTTTTTCCCCTCTCTCCATGAGAACTACAACAGATACATGAATCACAAATAAACTGTCGTACAGACTAAGTTTTCAGCCAATAGTGGTGACTATTTAGAAAATTAGTGTGCATTTTCACCCTGAAAGTAATGCCTTCTGTTTATTTCCATGGTAATTAAAACAAATCACAATGACATTGTTGGATATAGCAAGTTTTCAGCTACAAAACACTATTTTCTCACATGGTCTCCAATATTGGCTATGCATTTTCATCAGCAATGGATATTTTTCGAGAGCTGTTCAGGGCTGCATCAGAATGTGGCTTGTCACAGTCATCATTGCTGAAATGCATTACCTACTGCCTTACTCTGCTCACATCTGCCTGTTCTCTTTAAATATTCACTGAGTATTGATGAATGTCAATGAATACAATATTTCTGTTCAGAGGAATTCAATGATATATTTCTGCTTTGTGTTTCAAACCATTTTCCCAAATTGTAATCTGTAAGAGGATAAAAAAAAGAAGGGTTCTGGAGGGAAAAATTCAACTGCCAATGCTCTACAACCAGCATCTCCCTCTGACATCATAGGCTAATATAAGAGGTTTTAATTTGGATCAACCCTCATGAATATTTTACAAACTTGTTGCTTTCATAATTTCTGTTTGAATTTCTGGAAAGAGTGGTTATTATTTATAGTCAAACTAAGCTCTCCATTATCATCATCATTGCTGACCTCTGACCTTCATTAACTTTCTGTAAAACTGGTTGACTTTCAGGGAATTTTGAATTAAAGAACAACATGATGAGATATCCTTAAACATGGACAGTGGAACAAGAACAGCCTACCTCTGTAGATTAAAATAAGGGTTCATTTTGCAATTCCCTGAAGGTTACCCAGATCGATTAGTTGATTGATGGATGTATTTTCTATGGCTTATTTAAAGCCAGAAAATTTATTTTTTAGATAGTGAGAATTTTTTTTAAGATAATGGTTTAGTGATGCATGTTTTACTCATTAATCCATAGTTGGGGGAGAAGGGATGGATTCATATATGGACTTGGAACTCAGATCCTTGATTAACAATTCCCAGCCATTATCCATTGCACCACCGACACATCACCCAAAGCTCACAGCACTTGGTATTCTCAAGTGGTCATCCATCTAGGTACTGACTTGGTTCAACATTGCTTAACTTTGGGGATCGTATGGGAACTGGTGTTTCAGTGTGACGTAGCCGTAAGACCTTACCCAGATCGAGAGATTGCCTGAAGAAGGGCCAGAGGGCAGAAAAGCCAAAATGTTGTGATAATAACAATAAAGATGAGGATATTAGTCTGAAGAGAAATATTTTGAATACTTGTTACTATGATGTTTCATATTCAAAAAACCTATTCAATTCTTAATGAAATTGATCTCTTTCATTCCTGATAAATCTCACTTGTACTTAATCAATTTTCATTGGATGAATGGCTATATTCATATTAAATGATTCTTTAAGCTTTGTCTAGTGTCAGACATTACTTGTCAATCTCATCAAATTAACCACTTCTTGCTTATATCTTGTGACGGCTTCTTGGTCTTGGGATGACTTGATTAATTTCTTCAACAGGTGCTTTAATGCTTTTGAGATAATCATCCTCACGTATGTTAATATGTGACGTTCTTGAAGGCAATCAGAATTCTGACTTTCATCTTTTCCTTTTTTTTAATCTTTCTTTAGAACATGGACGATTATGGTTTTCCACAGCTTCCTGTCTTTTGTTGCTCTCAGTAATACTTTCCCCTTCATGATCCCTCTTTGACTTTGTGGTACTGGTTCCTGCATCCATTCGTTTAATCTTTATTTAGAATATGGACGATTATGGTTCTCCACAGCTTCCTGTCTTTTGTTGCTCTCAGCAATACTTTCTCCTTTATGATCCCTCTTTGACTTTGTAGTACTTGTTCCTGCATCCATTTGTTTAAACTTGTCAAGTAGGTTACTTGCTGCTTTCCTTTGTTTCTCTTGCCTTCAAGATGCCTTGTAAGTGTTATATTCTCTAAGCTCCTTTTTTTTTTGTTTCAGACACATCATGAAGAAATCCTCATAATGTGTACGGAAAAATTCAACTCCTTATCATTATCAAGTTTCTTTATAGTTTCTATTCTCCTTAAAAATTCTTTCTTTGTAGCATATTCTGCCCAAAGTATTTTCAATATTCACCTCATTTGTGACAAAATGGACCTGTTTCTACTGCTGTATAGGAGATTAACTATCACACACCAAATCCAGCTCTCTTTTCTTCATCTCTACTGACTTTCATCTCTGAAAATTAGAAGTCATCTAAAATATCTGAACTTAGGTGTATCTATAGCAATAGTTCCCAAATAATTTATGCCAGCAGCTTCTTCCCACAAACTCCCAAGAGGATTCTTCACCAATCACTACAATCTTAACCTGTCACTACAATCTTAGTCTAGGGTTAACCATTATCTTCCACACATATCCACATAAGCTGTGCCTCTTAATCTGTAACCCTCTACTTTGAGAGGCTCTCGGATTTGTACAGGGTGCACACAAGCCCTGAACACAGATATTTTTGACCTGGTGACTCTCAGAGCAGAAATGTAATTTCAATATTTCTTCATTTTGTTTTAGATAATAAATATTACTTAATTTCTTAGTCAATAAATTTTAATATTTCTTATGTTGATTAAAGAAAATAAAAGGCCTCACTTGATATAGATGTCTTATCATAGTATGTCAATCATCCAAAACAGCATTGCCAGAAGTGAGTAAGAAACGATACTGTGATTGAGTCAGGCTCCAGGCATACAACTATTGAGTATGGACAGGCTGTAATTTTTCAGAAATTTTCATACCTAAGAATATATCTTAGATCACTTATAAACATCTGTGCCAATGATATGATAATATATGAATGCACCTCTAAAACTCTTGACAATCAGAGATTTGGTAGCTGACCTCTCTTCTGATCTAGCACTAACTACACAGTAGGAGAACAATTGGCTGGCTATATTCAATGCCTTGAAAACCGAACTAATTATATTCTATCACCACCGATTGCACCCTGAACTACTGCCAGTCATGATAAATAGATGGTCCCTTGAGGAGTCATTGTGCCTTGAGAGAATATTGGGCCTCAAATTCACACATTCCTGTAAACCACTACCGTATGGAAGAGATTCCCAAGAGGTTGCTTCCCCAATCACTACAATCTCAAGTCTGGAATTAACTGTTATCTTTTCCTCCTATATATAAACTACCCCTTAACATAACCTTCTACCTTTAGTGCCCCCCCCCACCGGGCCTTGTACAGGGTGAACCTTATTGTAAAAAAAAAAAATTATCAATACTAGCTTATTTCCAACCATTTTGTGGTTCCAAACTTTTGATGAAAATATCATTGTATTACTTTAAACAGTTGTTTTTTTGTTGTTGTTTTTTTTGTTGTTTTTTTAAAAAATTTAAACCAATTTTTCCAACCTTCAGTAAAATCCTTGCAACATTTCTTTTGGTTGTGGCTGTTGATTTGGCTATGACTGATCCATGGAATTATTTCTGTGGATCAAACACTGAGAATGAATTACCAAAGGTAATTGTAAAGGATTTTTCATTGGAATCTGTTTTTGTCAAAATGAAATTTTATTTGAAAGTAGATTTAATTTGATGAAGGAGTTTCATTGTTGTTATGGAAATGAATGCACTCTGTAGCTGACATATCCTGACATATGACAGTGTGTGAGGGCATGGATTATTTAAAAGAAAAGTGACTGAACAGAATATCTGACTATAAAATAACATAAATCTTCATTTGTGTTATTGTTCACCTCATCAATATATATTAAAAGGATGAACAATTTCACATGTGGATCAGATCTGAAAATGAATTCAGACTGAAACAGAATCAACATTATCTCTATCTGTGATCAAATGACTTTGAAATATCATAATTGGATTTAAATGACATAAACTTTGACCTCAAACATTTGGAAACTAACAAATAGTTTGTTTTTGTGTTATTTTGTTATTTATTTTACTTTTATGATCAAATTCATTGTTTGGATCAGTGTTTTGAATTCTGAATTTGGAAAAAGTTTTTATTTCTTGAAGACAATTGTACAGTATAATGAATACGTTTATTAATCCTGTGCAAGAAACAGTTCTTAACCTTTTTCAAATCTTGAAATCTTTTCATGAATTCAAAATCTTTAATATACTTCTAGATCTTAAAGCTAAAATTGTTTTTCCTTTCTCTTTTAATTTAAACTGCATACTTCAAGTTAAAATTATCGTCACACACAAACAACACATACACACACACACACACACACACACACACACACACAAATAAATCATTTTTATTACAAGTTATCTACCATCACCTGATGAAGTACAGTCTTAGTACTGAAACATGAAAATTTTTGTGTAGCAATGTAAAATGTTTTTATTCTACTTTTTTTATATATATATATAATACATGTTTCATTAAAGAAGACAGACAAGGGACTATGATTAAACTTTTTATTTAAGTTTTTTTGTGTTTGAACAAATGTTTTCTTTTTTGGACACAGAGTGTGTAGAAACTGTCCAAATGTTCTATAATTTCAAGCACTTTCAGCTTTACGCTTAGCCATTAGCAAGGATGATTTTTTTCAATTTAATTGGGTGTGTGGGTTGTGTAAATAAAAAGCTTAATCATAGTACCATGTCTATCATCTTTAATGAAACATATATAAATGAAGGATTGCTGCCTAAATACACAATTATCAAATTACATGACCTGGCAACCAACAAGGAAAATAATACCACTACATTCAGAAGAAACCCTGTCTTAGGACAAATAAAATCGGCTAAAAATGACATTCAACATTTAAATAATGAAATCCAGAAACAAGAAGACACTAAAAACACCTTGACATAACTGGAATATAACAAAGCACTGTACAACCTCAACCTTAGCATCAAATGAATATCAATTTACACGCGGGACAAATAATCACAAAAAAGCTGTGTAAATTATATCAAGGAAACATTCTACTACCCAACAGCGACAACAAATATATAAACCTATCTAGTCATAAATTAACAGATGACAAAAAGAATTCCTAAATCTAGGGCCAAATTGCCACCTCCAACCTAAAATTGACCTCTTTACAAAGAAGAACGAAACCGAAATTCTACACCAATCACTATTCCAACTTGAGGTGCGTGGAGACATAGCATTTCCCACAGACCTGAGAGACCTCCTCAAGGCCACAGGTTTGAAAAGCCACTCCCCTGGCAACAACTAAAATAATATCTTAACAACAAAACTTAAAAATCACTGCAAAAGAACCAAAAAAACAACCCTAATGTTGTCATCAGACGAACTGACAAAACTAATACATGTAATTTTGGATAAACCTGATTACTACAAAAAATTACAAAACATTATTGATGACTGTCCTAAATTCACAAAACTAAACAGAAACCCCATGGTGACCTTAAAAAGGTCAGTAAACAAACTAATAACATCTAATAATGCTAAAGTTGGTTGCATGAAAATCAAAAATATCATTGGAGACTACCAACTTGAATATGTATATGGAAATATATAAACCTATAAACCTGGATACCCGCTATGACCAATCATTTTCCAGATCTCAACACCTATCTACGAGCTATCAAAATTCCTGAATGACATCATCACTCTATACCTACACACCAATTACAGCATCACATCCACCCACAAATTCCTCCAAATTTTAAAAACTACTAAATCAAACCAAGGTATCATAGTGTCATTTGATGTTGAAAATTATTTACAAACGTCCCTATCGATCATACCATTGACATTATCCTCAATTCTGTGCATACTAATAATTCTATCCCTTTGACATCCATCAAACCATTTATACTCAAAAAAATTACTACACACATGCAGAACCAAAGTCCCTTTTTATGACCATAATGGTATTAGTATGGGAAATCCACTTGGCCCATGCTTCTCCAAATATTACATGTCCCATGTAGAAAATATGATATTTAAACAGGTCTGTAAACCTAAAATATATGTCCTCTATATAGAAGATATTTTTATTTTAGCAAATAACACTAAAGAAATAGATACTCTCAAAACTAAATTTGAACTTAGTCAAAAAAATAAACTTGAATTCTTAGACGTTCTTGCCAAATACAGCAACAACACTTTTATCACTTCATTATATAAAAAACCCACTAGCA